CTTTCGCACCTGGCCTTTTTTTTCATCATGAGGACATGATGGCGTGGACATTCTTGATTGAGAATGTCCTCCCTTCTCTTAAATGATGCCGTAACAGGAAATTGAAATAGAGTAGATATAAATCATTCACTTTTACACTCATCCCTAGAAATCATTCTGATAAGGAGGGGCTGAATGGGCCTCATCGGTCTAGAAACGTTAAAATAATTTTTTTTTTCTAAACGAACGGAATTATGATTGCATAAATGAACTAGATTTTTTTAAACAATGTATATCAGAGCCAAAAAAAAATACTAACTACTACCTTTGTGTGCTCCAAAAGTTCATTTTTTTTTATTAAAACAATGTGCACATTTTTGAAATAAAATATAGTGTAAAATTAAAAATACATGGTGTTCTGTAATGACCATCCCTAAATTTTTCTTTTTAAATCAACAAAAAATACAGATAACACAAATGCAAAAAATACAGATGCACAAATTTATAATAAAACGGGAAAGAAAATGAAAGCGGTTTTGAAATGTGTTAAATCACTGAGAAAGATGGAAATGAAAACTAGATAATCTATTTAATTTCAGGAGTAAGCAGAAAGGAGTTTATATGCAATTATTAGAAACATGTCCAAGTTTAATCCCTCAATCAAACTGATTTTGATTTTTTTCATACCGTATTTTTCTCTAGTGATTAGTCAGATTTCTACAGCATTTTTTGTACCTTTTTTGCCTAAATAACAATTTACAACTCCTAATGTGTGAACTTTTTGCTTTTATTTTTGATAGACTTCAAAAAAGAAAATCTATTAAAGGTGGTTCTTACAGAACACCTCGTATACAGTCGTAATTCTTCGTAGCATGTACTCTACGAATTGTTGATGCCTTATTTAGGGTCAGTTTAAACAGAATGGATTCTGATCAATTATGGACGAGTCTTTCAATTTCTTCCCACAAATGCTCAAGAAGTTAACTAGTGAGGAAGCCAGCGCAAGAGTCTCTTTAAAATACCTCAATCAATCTCTTAGAATACCAGCAGAATGGCTGGTCCTTGACTTATTAGACTGTTGAAGGACTATCTGTAGCACATGTATTAAATAAACATTGATATTTAGCTATGGTGCTTTATTCTAACTACCATAAATCCGAAATAATGGTCCTAAAGTAGTAAGTCAAAACTACACTAGTCCAGTATGACACTCCTTAGTGCAAAGGAATTAGTAAGAAAGTGTAGAAGTCTGTGTTAGTACAAAGTGGCTACAGTGCTTAAAACTTGCAGTAAATTTTAAAGTATTGTTGCTAGTTTCGACTACAACGTTGGTCCATAATTGACAAGACCTTTATTCATATAACTGTCATTTATATCTTCAGCCATGGCCAATACAAAAACTATTAATCACATTTAAAATAATAGTTTAAGATAATAAAGCTATTATACAACCAAAAGTCGAATTTAAATTTAATCTAAGGAATCATAATAACTATTTTTAAGAATTTAAACCAAAAATCAAATCGTTTAAAAACGGCGAAAGTTTCGTTTATGTTGTTGTAATAATGTTGATCGATAAAAAAGTGATAAGTGATGAGAAATACCCATTTTCACATAACAGAGGTTTAAATCATGTTGAACGACGAACACAAATTAATTACTCATAAAAAAATCACTCGTTATTAAGCTACAGAGGTTTAAATAAAATTTCAATAACCACTTTTAAGTAAGAAGTAAACAAGTTAACAGATAGTTTTCAGTAAACAGATAGTTTCAAGTAAACGGATAGTTTTCATGTCGCTTTAATTCAAATTCCGAATAACAACACAAACATTAAAATAAATTATATGAAAATAATTGTGATGATTTTACAGTAATTCTAACTCTGAATGACGACGAACAATTTTAAATGACAAGAAGTGCTCAAATTCCCACAACTGTGGTTCAAACGACAAATGCATAAGCTAATGAAATTTGTAAAAATATCACACAATATACAATGATACAATTGAATTTCCTACAAGTACAAATTAAATTTAATCTACCAAGAAAATTAGAAATTTTAATTAAAAATCGAATATAGAGGCTAATAAATAGTATTCAGGTTCCTTTGATTGATATCCTGGATTGCCATTTTAAATAATAACCTTCCTTTAAAAGGTACCATGACACTCTCAAAATAAACTACACTTTTATCAATTTTGACCCAAGAAAAACACCAATAATTTGACGAAAGAAACAATCAATACAGAAGAATTTAGCAAATTCAATTTTAACAACTATGAAAAGTATCATTTAAATTTAATTTTAACCAAAATCAAATAACACTTAGATGTAAAGAAATTGTATTCGTATGTCCAGTTAAGAGCAGTCCAACTTTATAGCAAAAGCGTCTGGAAATTGACAAACAACAAGAAAATCAATTTGACACGTTTCAAACAAAAGACCTAAGAAAAATATTAACTGGCCATATGAAATATCTAACAAAGAATTATACGAACTAACTGTAAGCCCACAACAGCAATTGTTAAAAATAAATAAATGAAAGCACAATAATTGTGACAGTAGGTTAGACACATTCTCAGTATGATGCCATCAAGTCCAACACGAATAGCGCTTACCTGGGCCCCGGAAGGTGAGTGGAAAAGAGGACGACCAAAACTAATCTGACTCCTAATGACCCCTAAGGAAAGAAATGCTTACGGATGGCAGTGCTGAGGAAGTGCTAGGGATGCAGCACTGAACAGAAAGGGGTGGTATGTCTTTCTCGTAACATCCCTCATGAGTGGCCCACTCAAATGCAAGGAGAATTAAGTAAATATGATGCCGAGATCCCAAATGATGACAAACAGAATAAACTCCCTTCATTCAAAACCTACCAGGAGAAAACTACACCCGTATCTATTTCCCCCCAGAAAAGAACAGTATTTATCGAAAAAAGCAATGAAGATAGAAAAATTCTGCAAATTTAAATTTAATATTCCCTACAAATGATACATAATATACTTAATATACGAAGTAAAAAATGTATGATCAAAACTACCAGAACATGGTAAAATTTACCATGTTTCTGGCTATATGAGAACGTCGAAAGTCTCTAAATTTATACCGACGCGCTTAATTAATGATTTTTATAAAATTAATAATAAAATATAGTGTTATTATTTACCATAAAATTTGCTAAATGTGATAAAATTTGTGGTAATTTTATTATGATACCTTAGAGCATGGTATAGAAATCAGTTATTTCGTTAAATTTAATTTTTAGTTTCGTATTTTTTACTAAATATATGTTAATGAGAATTATAATTTTAAAAAATATGGTTTTAGAATATGCGATAAAATTTGGTAAATGTGGTAAAATTTGGCCCATTTTTCATGATACCTTAGAGCATGGCATATAAATCATTCATTCGGTTAAATTTACTTATCAGTTTACTTATCAGAACAGCATTTTTTTATTAAAGGTGCACTAATAAGAACTATAATTTTGAAAAACAGAAATTTTAGTGAACACTTATCATATGAAGGGAAAAATTACGAAATGAATAAATTAAATACCTCTTATTTTGGTTTTATTAACTAGAATTATGCTATTGTTTTTTGTTTTTTTACTGGAAATGTCATTACCATCCATTACAACAATTTTACCAGAATATTTTTGTCTGCGTAAAAATAAAGTACAGAATCATTTTTCACCTTAATTTTAACAAAAAATCAACTAATTAAAATGTCAAACAATAATATCCACGTTCTTGTGATTGAAATCCCAAATGATGACAAACTAATTTATTAATTACCCCCTTCCTTCAAAAGCTACCTTGTCATTCTCGAACGAAACTACACCCATATTCATTTTTCCTCAAGACAACACCAATAATTTGACGAAAAGGAACAATCAGTATGAAAAAAGTTCGACAGCTAACTTTCATTGAGGGATCAAAGACCCATTGGAAACGCCAGCTGACGAACTTCTTGATATGGGCATTGACTTAAGACGGATTTTAAGGAATACCCCCATTAACACTCACTTAAGAAACCGGCAGATGTGAACCCCATTTAAGATAAATTCCTTCTATCAGATTTTGCCTTGATTTCTTATTAGATGACCTGGATTTAATAACTCGGGAAGGACCTTTCTTTCTTTTTTTTCTTTAAGAGATGCACCTGGTAAGTTTTATTCAGATTATCATCTGATTGGAAAAAAACAAATTTCCATGAATTTTAGGAAAAACGGAATTTTTTATTTTTATGAATGATGATTCTTTAAAAATAATTATGCATTTAATGGTAGGATTTAAAAATATTTTGGGATGCATAATTTTATATTCCAAACAGATACTTTGATGAATCTTCTAAAATTATTTTTCAAGAAACTCAATGAGATTGAAAAGGACTAATATTTGAATTTTTAAATCAACTCAACACAAAATATTCTAATTTATATTTGTCTAAAAAAATAATAAAATAATCTTTTCAAATTGCATTTTTGCTATTTATTTAAGTCTTTACTTGCACAAAAAATGACTCCTTACATTTTGCATCAAATAACCTAATAACAAAAGTCGGGGCAGCCTGGTTGGTAGGACGCAGGACTTGTGTTGAACATATTCGTTCCTGTGTTGTTCGTGAGAACGGGAGGATCCCGCCGTGTCCCCGTGTGTTAAATGGATCCCCCGTGTGTTAAATGGTAATTGGTGCACGCTAAATCTATCCGGGTCACAAAGTCCTCCAAGTTCCCATAAGAAATAAATGCCTCAGGGGGTACTGAACTGCAGATTGACAGTTCTCTGGTTCAGATCAAAATTACGATCTGTAGATGAATGAATGGATGTATGAATAGGCCCATCCTGTAAAACGGGCTGTGACGTGCGTGTGTAGCTGAAAGCGTATTATTGGAAATGGATGGAGCCACTGAAAAGCAAAAAACGCACCCTCTGCCTTAAAAATTTTACTATTAAATCATCTTTATGATTATACCTGAGCAATGGCTCATACTAATTTTCTAATTTCAATTCTAGGAACAAAGACCTCAAGGTTACACCAGAGGGATCTGCAACTCATGATGAAGAGGTAAAGGGCCCTATGGCCTCAGGCACCTCGGCCAAACTACAGGATTAGGATTAGGATCTGCCTTAAAATTCGCTTAGTTTCCCAAGTTAGTTGCTGGCATTATCAAGTCGCAATAGAAACAACAAGACAAAAACCATTAAGAGATGATTGTTCTTCAAGCAATTTTTTTTAATAAAATATTTCACTAATTTGTGAATAGATTTGTGATTGTCTAACATTTAATAAGAACTAAATTTTAATTTTTTGTTTTTAATTTATGTAATTTGGCCCCCATTCCACAAAAATAATACTCCCATCAGCTATGAATTAAAGTTTTCCAAAATTTTATTGTTAATTGTCAAAATCCATCCATATGCCAAAATCACTGTTAATTACTTATTCGATATTTATGTAAATAAGATCTTATCTTTCATATTAAATAAAAATGAGACAAATATGAGAAGTGAAACTTAGGATTTACGCTATCTATCATAATTTGATTTTTATTAAAATAAGACGAATATATTTAATCATGACGATTTAAAACTGCAAAAATCACGTGATTTGAAAAGGAAAAGAGAAAAATTTAACAATTAGTTTTCTTTTACCTCACTAAAAACATGAAAAAAAAATTTAATAATCGATAATCAATGATTACGGTAGAAAGTAAAAGTCAATCATAATTATTTTATAAATTTTCACTATCAATTATAATTTATTTACAATGTTCAAATTACTTTTAAAAATTTACTTTGCAAATGAATATTATTTTTTGTTAATTCGCCTTTGTATAATAGTTTATAATTTATATAATAGTTCACAATTGAAAGTTTAGCAAAAATTTTCAAAAAAAAAAAAAAACATTTAAAAATATTATCTATAGGATTGTAGCCTAAAGATTATACAATCAGGAATAACAGGCATATAGGTTTTAAAAATTAATTAAAATTTTTAATTTTTTAAACCTATGCATTTCTAGTCTGTGAAAATATGTAAAAAGAATCCATAATGCTTACATATATGTATTCGGTTTAATTAGAGAATTCTAAGATACAATTTTATCGCAAAGTTATGCATGACAGTAATTAACTATACTAAAATGACAAGCTTTAATTAAGGTTCAATTTAAATTTTCGTAACGTTAATAGTTATTTTATCAACCGAAACTGTATTAAAAAAATCCATGTAATATATGGAAATAAGAAGTTGTCAAAATATTTGGGACGAGTCATTTTTCTTATTATGCGTATAAGTATCATTTTCATGCATAATCTTTTATTTATTACATTTTTATCATATTATTACATAAATTATTTATAAAGTTATTAATTTATAATATAAAAATATGTAATTTGATAGCATGTTTCCAACGCAAAAAAATCAATAGCAAACCTTTGGGGAATTATTTCCAATGATTAATTAATACCGATCATTAAATTTGATGTGAAAATTATGATTAATTCACACATATTTGTGATAGTATCAATTTAGCAACCAATGCAAATTTTGATAATTTTAGGCAAATTGATAGTTAAGAAAGCTTTTTAAACGGCGTTATGGAACTAACATATATTAACATAGTAAGATATCTTAATTGAGTGCAATTTTCAGTTTTTTATAGTAAGGTCAAGAAAAAGAAAAAAAAAAAGAATTGCATCGTATTTGCATTGATATTTTTCTAAATGGTTCCAATTTAAGATGAGAAAAACTATATATATATTACACTTATATCATTTTTCGAAATTTTTTTTAAAATTTTATAACCGTTGTTGAACACCTGACCCAATTTTGGGTTCGCAGCTACTAATGCTCAACTCCGTAGCCTTGTAATTTTGAGCCTAATCCAGAAGACAAGGGAACTCCTTGATAAAGTATTGGGAAAAATTTTGCCTTCAAGGAGGACTTTCTGATGGAACTAACCCGCATTTACGTTGCATGGAGAGGGAAACCACGAAGATTTCCCACAGTTAGCCTAACGGCAAGGGAACTCTTACCCATGATCAGTCTACCAATGAGAATTTTTCCCGTCAGCACTGTGGTCGGTGCAAGCCGGTTACGAATTCGTATCGATCAGCGATAGTTGGGATACGAACCCGTATACCTCGAACATAGGCGAACGCTCTATCCCCTGTGCCATCACGGCTCCAAAAGCTTCCGATGTCGGGTATAGAACCTCAGCCGTGTGAGTGAAAGCCACGAATCCTAACCACTAGACCACATGGGATCTCAAGTGTTTGTATACAGGAAATAAATATTAAAAGGTCTTTACAAGGTTTATTAACTTAGGTTGGTTTATATGATTATGGCTTATTAACTGCTTTATATGGTTTATTAACTTAACTATTATTAGAAGATTGTAATATATATTTGGCACACATTTCAATATAATTAATATCTCTTTAAAGTTTCAGGACACCTTAAATCTAAAGTTTTAAATAATGTTTTTAAAGTAATAAATATCAATCATTATCTCTTATTAATAACTAGTAAAAAAAGAATGTTTCAAATATAAAAGTTTAATAAACTTCAACATGTTTATTTGATTATTCTTTTCTTTAAATGTTTTTAACTAAAAGAATTTTATTATTAACAATATGCGATAAATGCAATTTTGGGAACGGTTAATTAAGGCTGTTCAATGATTTAAATTCACATATTATAATGAAAATTGCTTCAGAAAAATCAAATTAATATTCAACAGTAATTAATATTCAACAACTAAAAACTTAAATTGCTAAGTCGTATGAAATCCTTAAATTTTAAAATTGCTTCAATCAATTCTTAAAATAATTGAAGAAAGTAAACTTCTTACTGGTTCAATAAAATTATTTTTAAGTCGAGTGTTATGTATTCATGTTTAATGTTGTCTTATCAAGAAAAAAGAATAATCTGAAAAACAGGTATTAAAAACAATGGCAACAAATTAAACAATCGTATTTGCACACATCGATATTTTACTGGAAAGTTTTTGAACATCTGAAAAAATTTAGCATCTACGACTTTTGATAACTTTTTTTAGGAAAACATAAGGATAACATAGCCGGCAGGAAAAATAAGATTTGTAAGTATAAATAAAGAATTATATTTTTATTCGAGAAAAAAAGTTATAAAATTACCATACTCTATAGTAATGACATTTCTCGTAAAAAAAAAAAACTACAATTCTGGTTAATAAAATCAAAATATACGAAATTTGAATTATGGTAATATTTAAGTGAAAGGTACTGGTGAAATATGAATTATTCTTGTCGCATTTAATTGGCTAAATATTAATAGCCTATTTAATACAAAGTTAGTTTCTATCCTCTTTACTAAATGATAAAAAATATTGGTTGCGATCATTTATTGCCATGTAATTTCTATGTTCTTGACCGATTGATTTGACAGATTACTGATATAAACTGTTATAAATTCATGCATGTTTATATAGATTCAATTCAATTCGCTTACAAAGTTCTCGAGATATGGTGAAATACTCAAAAAGTAAAATTAACATTATGGAGTTCAAGCTTTGGGCGGCTCCCCTTTGGACGGCTCTCTGTTGAGACCGTACTTACAAGATTGTTGCTACCCCCCTATGTTTTGGGGTTCAGAAATTCAAATCCATTGAGAGAAGGGTATGATTATTCAGATAAAGTATGTTTTTGTGTCTGATTCCGTAACTGGAAATATTGTCTCCTCGAGTTAATTAGCATATTTAAGGTCACCCCCTTGAACTGTTAAGATTGAGACCTGGAAGGTGAAAACCTGATCATTAGATCAAAAGTCATTCATGGTAAGCCGTTTATTTATTTATTTTTTTATTTTTTTTGCTCACTGTACCTATTACCAAAATTAATTATACATCACTGGCTTTAATAATAGAATGGCTATTTTTTAACGCTTGTCATTAATGAATTAATTTAATTTCTGCATTAATTTTTCTCTTCAGAGCGCAGCTTACTTTTTTTTATTTTTTATTTCGAGAAATACCTTTTACCAAAATCGTCTGCAGTTTCTTTTTTATCAATGGCTCTAAAATGGCGTTATAATGGCGCTAGTTCTAAACCAATGAGAAAATTATTTTTTTAAAAAATGTCTCTCCTGAAAGATCTAATCGGAAATTTTTTGACATTTTTTAGGGACGGGAGGCAAAAATTGTCCCTTTTACCCGCTGTCCGAATTTCAGGATGATAGAACTAATGGTTCTTTGAGTTGTGACAGACACACACAATTCTTCATTTTATTATCATCGATTTTTAACTTGCTGATGAATCCTTCCATTTAACATACTAAGTTTTCATATCATTTCATTTTAAAATTTATCTTTAACGTTTAACATAAAAGAAGCAATAGCAAATCCCTCTTTTGAGTTCTTTTAAAAAAACGTGCTTTTTTAACCCTTACAGTTTTTCCTTTCGTAGAACTCATCTTAATTACAGTATGTGTCCCAGGTGCATTGCTTAGAAGGTCCTATCATTAATTTCATTATTCAAAAATGCTCAAGACATCAATCATGGCATTCGCGGGAAATCCTGTCAGTGTCTTGTCATCGATCAAAAAACCCGTGCTATCTTCATCAAACTAGTTATTTTTTTCCTTCTACCTTAAAACTTATTTTTATTCTCGGTTTACGAACGCCAGACGCAAGTTCTAGACATTCACTACACCAAGCTTACCCGTTAACTAATGACGAGAGACCAAAGAAAAAAAATTAAACCCGAGAAGTAATAATAAGGGTCATAGAAGAATTGAAGTTGAATCTTCGCAGACTTGAATGCAAAGTGGTATTTTGTATAAAGTGATATTTACATTGTAAATTATTATAATAAATATTTGTTTCAAATGAAGTTCCAGGGTCAGGTATTTTTTTAAAACTTTAATTTATTCATAGTTCAATTTATTTTGATTCTACTTACACGTAGACAGAATTTATTATCGGAATCTTGGGAACTAGGTTTACTATAAGCAAGTATTTTGTATAGATTGATATTTATATTTTAAATCTTTATAATAAAGGATTTTTTCGAATGGAGCTCCAGGATTAAATATTTTTAAAAACTTTAAATTGTTCGTAGTTAAATGTATTCTACCTATATGGAGACAGAATTTAACATCTAAATTTCTGGAACCAGGTTTTAAAGTTAATTAATAATGAGCAATCCAAATAAATTAACACATAAAATAAAATAAAAAATTGCAAACTTGAATGCAATAGAGCGGCAATTATCCGTTCGA